CTGCAATATAAACTAAGTTAAACTGAAGGAGACTGCCTCTCAGAGGCTAGGGCCACATTCCTCCACCTCTGGCCACATTCCCATACTTACCCTTAGCTCTGGCACCTATCAGACCCACAGGGAGCCAGTCAAGGAGCTGAGCAGCCAAACTCTTAACACGAGCAGGGATTTTTTTTCTTCCCAGTTGGCTCAGCAGTTTCCTGTACTGGGCTCAATTGCTAGTGCTTGTGAAAAGGAGGGGCGAGGATCATACAGCTGGGGTTGAAGAATGCAGGTTGAGAGTTTTTTTTAAATGGTTTGATTTTTCCTGATCTGGTGCAACAACCAGCACCACCAACCAGGAAAATAATGAGGGCAGGTACTGGCATAACACTGAAGACAAGGTCCACGTAAGTGATGGAAGAAATCCATGTTGAACCACAGAAACAGCTAGGGGCTAGCCATGATTTATCATCCTTTCATTACAAACAACCAAACCTTTGATTGACTTGCATGGAATTAGTAGTAGAACTTGCAACTACCTTCTCTAATTATGAAATTAGAAAGGCCTAAATAGGTCTCTGCTCAACAAGACTGAGTTTAAAAAATAGTGAGGACTCCTTAGCCCCAACCTGTTCTTTATTCTGCTCGCACTTTATGTAAGTATGTACACATAAACAAGATCACTGAAAATGCTCTCACTGTAATCTTAATTTTACACTTTCTCAGTACATGTGCTAAGTGATAACAAAAGGGACTTTGACTTTTCTCCCCTGCAGAAATGCAGAGCAACCCTCACTCATTGCTATCAGTTGGAATTAGAGTGGCACAGCCTTCCTGAAGTAAGATGGTTAGGAACAGAGCCTGGATTTGTGTAAACTGTCACAGCTCTACAGAAGACAGTGAAGCGACTTTGTTTATACTAAACAAAGAATCTTGCCTTAGTTTTAAAACTTGCCTGCATGTGGGTGTAACCCCATTTGTTACATCTTGAGTTTTGTCTTTATCAGAAAAGCTTGCACAAGAGCATTCAGAAACACAGACTCAGTATTTTTGGTTAAATGTGCACAATTCCATCTGGTTTAACAGAATTGTGCTCGCTTTGACTAGGGCTGAATTTTGTCTTGGCATGCTCACTCCTTACATAATCACCCTTTAGATTTATAACACCTCACATGTAGAAGTAAAACTGTAATGCTAAGAGCCTTTCTAAATCAGTACCACAAAGGTGAGCCCATGAGTTTTCTGTTTTGTGATACTGGTGAGAAAACTAAAATTGAGATGTTGAATCACTTTGTGTATGGTCTCCTAAGCCTTCCAATTTGCTTCCCACTGCAACCCCATAAAATATTACTTAACTTTCCAAAACAGCCACAGAAACCAAAAAAGCAAACATCCATACATGCACAGCAAACACTGCTGTTCAATAAATAATATTAACGAAAAAACCACCCAACCCAACAGACCTATTTCTTCTGTGCGTGGCATTTTTTTGACACAGCTTCAGCACTCAAGATACTTGCACACCGTTCTCGGTGCCATCTGTGGGAGTCGTGCATGTGTAGCTAAGGGCAGAGTTGTTTGCTACTAAGAAATTACTGGATTGTAAAAAAAAATTAGTGAAAGAAGCTCTTTGAGGTTTTTGCTTTGAAGAATTTTCAATTAAAAGTCAGCACTGAAATCATACAGTTCACCTAGTATATAAATATATTGTTGTCATTTAGGACAACAAGCAAGGTCAATAAAGAATAGTTTTTCTATGATGTCTCAGTGGAAAGAAGAATGTTATCCATGTGATTGCAAAGGGTCTGCCAAATGGGAAAAATCAGTCAAACAAAGAGCACAGGGTTGCTCTCTGGAATAAACAATTCTAAATGAACAAAAGCTCTACATAAAAGTAGAATGTCCCACCCCCTACTGAAAGCTGTTTTCAAAGCTCTGTATTCTTTCAGAATGCTGTAATACAGATTAACCTAATGTTTTTCTTCTGCTGATACAACAGTCTGGTTCCTCGGTCTACTTCTGTGATTTCAGCTGTCATATTCTGTTCTTAATATTTTTGTATTTTACAAACTGCCTTTTAACTTATAAAAATCTGTTTTTCTCTCCCTACCCTTCAGAAAATGCATCTGTACCATCCACCTTTTACATCAAGCAATTTATATATATAAATTATGCTAGAGGCAAAGGAGGCCAAATAAGCCAAAAAAATCCCCTTTTGGCTATACAGTTTCAGGAGAGCTTACCTACCCTTCCCAAGGCATGCAACCAAAACCAAGCAAACTCAATCCTCTTGGTATGTGCCTGGAATACTGGGATGCATCAGACCCGTGTGCTAATTTAAGGTGCTCAGTGTGCTACCAACCTGGAAGACCTCAGCTCATTGAAAACATACAGGAAAAGCGATGTATGAGGAACAAAGACAATACCTTAGAAACCCAAAATATGACTGCAGTGACAGGATATGCCCTATGTTCTACAATGGTCAAGGCAGTACCTGTCCAGTGCCTTGCTGGCACAAAACCCTTCTTGATTTTAGGGCTTTTGTCTGTACAGCTGGTGAGGAGAAAAATCAGAGTGGGTTAAATAACTCATACAACTATGAACATCCCATGTACAAAGTACTAACTATTGCATTGGATTTTATCTAATACCCCTTGATGTGATGAGGCTGGCCTTTGCAAAGACTCCATAAAAACTGCAACAAGTTCAAAACCCCCAAAGCTCACACACACTGTTCCACATTAAAATGAGCAAGTTTTAGGTAGCTGCTAGCAGTTCTTTTAGTCAGGAGTGCTCATGTCTTACCATAACCTGTGTTACTTAAGCATAACAATTTCAAATCACATAACACTAACCAGCAAGCACAGGTTGTCAGCATGAATCTGGAATTCAGACAGTTACTGAAATAGTTTTTGACGTAACCTTGCTTCCTATGCAGATAGAAAAGTAAGATGTCCTCAGGATTCGGCTAAGCTGGAAAGAAGCTCCCTAGCTAAGTCTTCTCACTAGAAATTTCCATTGGAAACTGTATTTTATGGGCTGTGACACTTCAAACTGAACGAACTTAACTAATATTTTGAAATTCCCAAGGAAGATGTTTAGTTTGTATATTAGCATTGCTCCTGTGAAGTTTAGAACAGTTTATACCAACTCATAATCCAGCCCATTTCTTTCTGACAGCATGTATCTAAACCCAATGAATAGTGTAAATGTCAATATGAACAAGTAGCTTACAGCCATGCCATTCATATGCTGAATTTTAACCACTGCAGGCTTAGGAGTCCTGTCATTCCTTCAACAGAGCAAGAGAAAGACCCATTTCTAGTTTCAGTTGCATTTAAAAATATAATAAAAGTTGAACTTTAACAGCACAGTTCCCATTTTATCCCTCTATGTCCCTTGTCATTGTGTGCAGTTATGCTGGCAGATTCCTACCACGGCAGAGCTGCGATTCTATTGCAATGGAGACAATTTCTTTTTCTTCACAGAGATTTCCTGCATACTGGGGAAAGGCGTATGGACATAACGGGGCAGAACAAACTGCCTGAAGGTTGCAACTGTGCACTGCTGCCAGTCTCAGGGAAGTGCCAAGAGAACCATTTTCACAGGAGGCTGGATCCAGCTCCCATGAAAATTACAACCACCTTAACAATCAAGATATTTGTGTAACAGAACATGTGAAAATTACCTACAGAGAATGCATAATCACTAACGTAAGGAGGTACAATGTAAGATCTAAATAGAAGTAATGCAATCATGATCATTGGCAGCATGATCACAGTATTGCATACAGTTTTAAAACATCAGCTCCTGTTTTGAGTCCTGAGACTGAGGCCCTTAAGTGCTATGACAGTGTAGGTTAAAAACCCCTGACATCTCACTTCCCGTATTACCGCTTCTATCTATATAGGTCATATAGTTTCTACTCTCAGGACAGTTGAATTTGTCAGCACTGTTTCAGTCTCACTACTCTTACTTTTTAATACAGAGCGAACCTGATTAAACTATACTTTAGTCGTGTGTTCTAAATCATAGGACACTATAACCACTACTACAATAACAAGCACTAGAGGAGACTGTGATTAATTTCCTTGGGAGTGCGCTGGGGGTTGCTCTGAGGAGGTTAGCACAACTGTTAAGTGTTATTTTTTACTTGCTACTCCTACTACAATAAAGTTATCCATTAGTTTGTCTGCCACATTCCTTGGAAATGCAGCTCATTTGACGTAGTTTCTCATGTATGTGTCGCAACGTGGAGGCACAGGGGATGGCTAAAGGAGGCTTTGAATGCCTTTGGATGTACTGTTTTGGTTAGCTCCTGGGAGTGGGATACTCAAAAATCTGCAAAACTATTAGACATCTGAGGATTGGCCTTTGCTCTATTTACAAATGCATTAAATTCAAACATCTTTACCACCTATTCTGCATAATAGACACAAATTTCCCTCATCGTAATGCACAGGACTGGCGTTCTGGTTTGAGACTTAGTTGTTTCAGCATAAAAGGGAACAAACTGACCTACTTTGTACACTACTGTATAATAGAACTGATTTGTGGCAGTAGCTTATGAAAAGTTTATATACCCACACTGTTTTGTTTAAATAATAAGAAATACAAGAATGACATTTAGTAATTTAAACATTTGACAACAGTAATGAAAAATACCATAGACCCAGACAGTAAGAAGATGAAAATCCATTAAAGAAAATCTATTGGAATAACTTACTAGCAAGGGCTTATTGTAAAATATATATATATAGAAAGGAGTTTCATCCTCACCTCCCAATGAAATGCCAAAGAAGCCTGAACATGAAATTGGAGCCACCAGCCATCTTTCTGAAATAAGACCTGACTTTTAAAGAGACAGTTCTTTATAAAGCCTAGGTAATTTTAGCCTCTTACTACTAGAAGTCAGCACGTATGCAAGCATCAGTGAAACCTTTGACTTCAGGAAATCTCAGTCACCAGTGATAAGGAAATGATGTCTTGAAAAAAGGTTTATTAAACAGACAAATAAAATAAACCGGGAATAGTGCCCATAGACATTCCTTCTACTCATGGATCTGAAACAGAACTGTCAGAGGATCACTCAACAGGAGAGGCTTCTGCAAAATGGATATATAAAATTGATAGGACAAACATAATTCTCCAAATCAGCAACAGAGTTTATAAAATGCTCAGTCTTGCCTCCATGACTTTAGAGAACAAACAATTTCAGGGCATTTTCTAGTTCACTTAGGACCAGATTAGGGAAGCAAGAGCTGACACTGGGACTCCCAAACACCAACATCCAGTAAGGGAGATGGGGAAAAAGATGGCTGAAAGAATTTGTCCAATGCACCATGCTTTCCTAGTATTTTGACAGAAAGATTAAGAGTTCAGTTGGATATATCTGGATGGCATTTTAGAACTTAGGTTCTACAAAGAGAAAAGAAATATTGGAAGATACAAGCATTAGACTAGATGAAGAACTGACACGAACACCTGAGACTAGGAGAGAACAAACTACACAGGATTAGATGTACTGGATACTATATGGCTACTGATTATGCAAGTGCCCTCCAAATCACACAGTGACCTGAGATTCATGAAGAGACATGCACAGAAACACAACAGTTGAGGAAAGAAAACTGAGAGAAAGGTTCAGAATAAGGGCAACCAGCCCATCCTAAGTATATCTGATTAATGCAGGCTTTTTCCATGAAATAGTCAACATAGAAAAAGAGAATGGTGAAAATAGAAAGAACTGAGCAGAAGTGAAGAGAAACCATTCCAGAGTGACAGCTCCCCAGCAAAAAGCATTTTGGGCTTTATAGGCAGAAGCCAACATAGGCAGAAAACCAGAACACCAGATTTGCTGGGCAGCTTCATGAAACCTTCATTTACACCCATTAGCCCCTCCTGTTTCTGAAATGTTTCCTGCTTGCAAAATATGATAGGTTCTGTAGTCATCAAATTTAAACTCTGACACAAACTAAAACAAGTGATCAGGTAAAGAAAAAAGGAACAGTTACACTGAAAGAGTATATATACTAAAGAAAAAAGGAACAGTTACACTGAAAGAGTATATATACTATATATAACCTAAGTGGCTAATGCCAGTGTCTGGGTTTAAAGGGAAGTCTGGGGCAAGTAGCTGCATGTTCTGCAATCTGTCACTCACTTCTTGACTGATCTCTGAATCATATTTTAAGACTCCACTATCAGTTCATGGACTTCCTTTTCTTGCCTCCCCCCCCTGCCCCAAGAGTCTCAAGTCTGTTTTTCCTGCAGGACTCCGGGGGTTTTACTTTTTAACTGGTGGCAGTCTTTTCTCCAGGCTTTTACTGCAGCTCATACACATAACTTTTGGGTTTGCATCTCTAAATGACTAACAAAAAACACCAATGTATTTTTCAGTAAAATCTCTCCCATTTTTTCACTGTTATCTTGAAAATGGTTAAAAGAAGAAAAAGAGAAAAAAGATTGCAAAACCCATGAAGAATTTTTCCTCCTTTGAAACAGAAAAGCAAACAAAACCCGATATTTCCATAATCACAGAAAAATCACCACATTTCAATTGTCTCTTTTCCATTACAAATCACTATTAACAACTGCAGAGTGATGGGTAAAAATACCCCTTTGGTACTGGAGGATTAGTTCAGACTTGTGCCAGCAGATACAGAGCTGTGCCTCTGCAGCACACTTCTGCAGATCACAGAACACGTATTTTGCAGCTTATCTAAATGATCATCTTTCTTTATTTTCTAAACATTCCCAACATAGCTCCAGAAATTCAATGTACTGCAATCTTTCTAACTTTTCAAAGATGTCTGAGGCTGGGTGTGGACCAATAAAGAGGAATCTGTATCATGAGTCTTATGACTTTTATCACTACATTCTCAGCTGTTAGTGACAAGATTAAACTTCCAGAAACATCTCAAGCATCCTGAATGAGGTTTGATGAAAACCACCACATACTCAGCCCTCGGCACTGCTTTGTTCTTGGATTTGTTTTATTTTTTTTTCTTCCTTTTAAGAAGAAATATTAAAGTCTTCTATGCAACTGAAACCTTATACATGTGCTTTTAAATCAAAAGCAATCAATACATGAACCTATTTTAAGCCATTTTGACTGCAGCACTTTTGTTTTCAGAAAGAAACAACCAAATACCTGTAAATACAGTAACGCTTAAGGAAAAAGGAGAGCCAAATTCTTTTAATCGCAGTGTCCTACTGACAGCAAATAGCCGTCCGCTTCAAACCTGTTTATAAGGCTCAGACTGAAACAAAATAATTTGAGGAAATACTTTCAACATGTCAGACCTCAACATAGATATGTAATTGTATATATGCTAGATAATATAACAGGTATATTGAAAGTGTAAAACCAGGAATATGGGCAGGTCACCTCTTACAAGAGCTCCATAATGATATTAACTGAATAATTGCAACTACAGTAAAAGGAGGGCAGAGGAAATCAGAAACAAATTATTTTGCTTAAAATCTTCCTGAAAAATTACAATATTCAACTTCTCTTGGTAAAAGTGAGGGGAAAATAAACCTGAAAGAAACTCTCACATAAACCTGACAAATTCCTTACCATTTACTGAGCTAAATTTCCTAGATAATCCACAGAGTGGATCTTTAAAAATTTCATTGCTATTCGGGCTGTGTTTTCCTAATCCAGCATTATTACCTACAGTACATTTTAAGTATATTTTTTCAGCCTACTGTAAGATGTCCAATATAGATATATCCCCTTTCCAATATTTTCCTTGGGAAACTACTCAGCCCTGCAAACATGCATGTGATTGTAACTTCATTTATGGCCCCATTAGTAAGGATCTATTACAGCATGTGACTACACTCATGTTTATTTGTTTATGGAATGAATTCCAAGAAGTTTTACAGTGTAGCCTATTTGTTCTGGGTACTGAATTTAATGTTTTTCCCTTCCTCAATTCATTCTGCTTTGATGTGATATGATTATTTACTTTGCTACAATTACATGGAGCCATCCTTCATAAGGGTGCAGACCAGACTTCCCCTGTTCAGCTTGGTAAGCATATTTAGCTTTCGAATCCTTCCTCATAATTCAGGTGGAGACACATCACAGCTGCATAAGGCGCAACTGACTGTATTTCGTTGCTTCTTGACAGTATGCATCTGTTCCTGCTCTAGTGCTCCTAAAATACGCAGCCTGTTCTCCCCTTTATCTGCAATCTCATTCATATTTTCAAGGATTTTCCTGTGACAGAACAGCATGTTGCTGGTCGCATCTTCCCAAAGGAAAAGATTCTACCAAAAAAGCATTTGTAATATCTCTCAGTCTATGTGAGTAGTAACTTCTACTGCCAAAGGAGTAATACAGCTGGAAAATCGAATGGAATGTAAAAGAATAGTCCCTCCTGTATCTGGAAATCACACCCCCACATACACCTGCTGTGAAGATTACTTTCTGTCTCAGTCTGGTTTAACTAGATTTTCCACAAACTGTGTACATTTACTGTTACAGAAGTACTTTGCAAAGCCAAGGCTATAGTTGATATGTAAGAACTGCTAGCTAGGAGGGTCACAACTGGTTTTTCCATAAAGCCAGGAATATTTATTTCTTACAGTAAGAACAGTGCTTTTTACAAATAAAATTTTGCAAACTTTAAGCAGGTAAGAAGAATGCCCTTAGGAAACAAAATAGCTGAATGTACTAGACAGTATCTACAGAACCAACAGCCTTTCCACAGCACACCAGCAAAGAAATAATCATTGTAACAGTGTCAGGAGAGTGTTTTGTTCACATAAGTGATGAATGAAGATTTAGGTATTTTCATTAAAAAGTTCAAATATTTTCAAATTCCTTTCATTGTAGGACAGGCATTTTTCATTTCCAGTGATGTCTCAGCAGTACTGCATCTGCATAACATACTGCTCAGAATCATGGCTAGATGGGGTTTGTCCACTGCAGGGAGGCACAAAACAAATTAACCAGGTCATTAACAAAAACCCAAATGTTTCTTCTTGGAAACATGAAAGCAAAAATACAGCTGGAGCTATGTGGGATACCAGCTAGGAAGCCAGCTGCAGGAAATTATGTCCAATTTCAAATGGATGGTTTAGGGTGTAGATACTGACAGAATTGATATGGACAGCCCTAGATAAATGAACACTGGGAAGAGTTCTCCTAAGCAATCTCATGGTAGAACATCAGCTGCATGAAACCAAAAGCAGATATTGCGATGTGCATGCCCCTGTGTCACATCCTGCCAAATAGGAAAACATAATCTCAAGTAACATGCAGGTTACATACATTTACATTAAAGTAATTTCAGCAAATAGGAATAATAAAATCAGAAATGACAATCTCAGAAAAAAAAATTAAAAAAAAAAAGGAAAGAAAGGGAAAAAAGGGGAAAGAGGAAAGGAAAAGGAAAGAAAAAGCCCCCCATCTTATCCACTAATCACTCACATGCTCTGCAGGTTGTTCTTTATTGGCTGTGTTTTCTGTAAAAGGTAGTAGTATTTTTAAGATCTGTAAAATATTCTGGAACAAATTTATCCCATCAGCTGTGCTATACTGGGGAGAATGCTCTCTCCCTACAAGTCTAAAGCTGTGAGCCACTAAACTGAGTCTATAGTGTTATGCTTTTCTCTAAATTTTCAGTCTGAAACTGTGAAGAGTAAGGACTATCACACCTTAAATATAGATCGCTTTGTGGAATGTGATGTTACAGCCCTGGAGCAGTATAGCAAACAAAATGTCAGCTAAGAATGTTGTAGCTTTATGATCTTAGGTAAAGGCTGAAAGAAACACACCTCCTTCTTGGCACTCAGAAAGAAATTTGGCAGGCATATGCACTAAAGAGGTCAACAGTCCTTGCAAAATTATACTTAGAATTTTCATGCAAAGTTTTCATACTTTCTACCCTAGAACACTTTCTGAAACGAGTAATACATAGTGTAAAAGATACAGTGAAAGAAGAATTACAAAGAAAGAAAATAAATGGGACACTTTAAACACGCTGTGAAGCAGGGGGAGGATCAGTAGTTTATATGAGGCTACATTATACCCAGCCTATCAAACCAAGCAGCCACACCATGTAGGGTATGGTTTCACATGACACAGCAGGCACAGGACAGATCAGCTGATCTGAAAGTGAGTGGCCATCACAAATGGGCAGTTTGCCTTCCCTCTATTTACTGTTGCAGTATTTCTCTTATAGTGGATATAAGGACTGTGTGTTTACTGGGCAAGCCAGTTTGTCAGGCTGATCCAGCAGAAAACTAACCCGAGGGGCAGCAGACCGGAACTGAGGAGCAGTTCTTTGTCAGATCTGCTGAGCCCACTCACCGTGAAGCCATGATTGCTAGTGCCAAGAAAAGGAAAAGATGGCAGAAGCCTTGGCCAAGGAAGCACAGGGCTGCCTTTTTCAGGGAGAAGCTGCTGGATTGCCTTAGCTGCCCAACAGAAATCAGGCTGGTCCTTACTTGATGAAAAACCTCAAAAGTATTTCATGCTGGTTATGGTCTAATGAAAACGAAAACTTCACTATTTGTTTCAATAAAATGAACATGCTTTAACACAATTTCTGAAAACAGAAAGATTAGTTGAGAGTGCCTTTGTATTTGTTAATTACAATGAGTTTATTTTTTTAACTTCCTCTTTAAATCCTTTTTAAGTATCAGACTGGTCAAGATCATACAAACATACTTTCATAAAATTATACGTCTTTGCCTCAAACATACCCTTGAAATAAGGTCTACACAGCATTGTGCTGAAAGCCACAACAAAGCAGAATCTGTTAGCTCACATTATCCGAGTCTTTGGCTGATATTTTCACGAAAGGTATGCTGATCTTTCTAGTAGTGTCAATAGAATCACATTACTGCCCAAGTCAGCATTTTCTAAAAGCTATTTGGCAGCTCACCATTCATCCCCTACAGTCAGATTCGACACTGTTTACAACATTTAATAAACAGGGTTAGACTCATATACGAATTTAAGAGATACTTCACTGTTACTCTCAATGTATTTTACTTTATAATAAATTGTACCTATTTAAAAACATTTTTCTTCTTTTTCTTTTGATCATGAATCTTAATGCTTTATTTGTGACATCTGAGTGTTTAGTAACAATAAATGCTTTGTCTGCTTCATGAGAAGAGCTCAGTCATTTACTTGAAGGGGATTAATTCAATTAATTCACTTAAACCAAATGTATATAACAACAGGTTAAGAAGTAGTGGTGTTATGCTATTCATTATGAGTGCTCCCAATCCACTTTAGCACAAAGTCAGCTGGGTTAGATGAAACCACTGGTGAAAGTTGACTTTACCATGAAATGGGGTTTAACAACATTAATAAAGAGCAGAATAATAATAGCAGAAATAGGAGCAGCTGGAGCACTAACAAAATTAATTAATTGTGGCATCACAGTTGAGATTGATAATGAAAACCTCTGGACAGTAACTCCTCAAACTAGTACAGCTGTTTCCAAACAGCCATCTGTCTGGGCCCCAAAGCTATTTTATGTATGGATACTCTTAAATTAACTTAGCAGAGCGCAGTTAAAGAATTACAGAAACAATGTGATAATACTGAAAGCTAATGTGATATAAGGAATATAAACTACTGGACTAAGAAAAAAAAATGGAAAAAGGGCAATTTTACAAGTTTCTTTGAAGTGGTAAAACAACTGTGTGTCCTACAGTCCTAAAGTAATTGATCTGATGACAGCAAAGCTCTGTGAGAGTGATTAAAAGGAAATATGTTTTTCCTTTTAAAACAGCTGGCAAAGGCAGCAAAGGAAATCTTATCACTGCATTACTCTCCAACACAATATACATTTTATAAATAGAATGTATGTAAAGATTAAATTTCTTCAGGGACAGGAGGGTATTTTAATCAATTCAACTACCAATTGACACAGTCCACTCCCCCCTTAGCACCTCCTTTTCTTAGCTGCAACATTTTGACTTCATTTAAAATTCATTATGAAACCTGTAAGGTCAACTTCTATCATAACCCTCAGGAATGCTTTTTTCAACCATTAACAGTGAATTAAACACATATTACAAAGAGAAGAATTTGGCTTGTATTTTTCAAATCTATAATGAGATTAATTTTATCATAGTAAATCTGAATCCACTGTTTTCAGATCTTCAAAACCACATCTATTTATTTATTCTTTAAAAAAATCAACGGTATAATCAGCTCCTGCTAGTCACCTGGAGATTGGCTCTTCCTTGGCCAGGAACAAATATACAAGAATACCTTCTCATATTCTGCTCAATTTAACCAAGTTGTGGGCTGCTGGAAGCAACTATGCTTCTCTCTCCACAGTTCACTTTCTCCTTTATGTTAGATACAGCGATCATGTGGCAACAGCACAGTGGAAAACTAACCTGCTCCATACCAAAACCCTCATTGAAACCCATGGCACAGGTACACAATCACTAAAACTGATGCAAGAGCTACAGAGTGGGATCAACCCTTTTGGCAGCTCTCAGTTTGATCCACTTGACTCTGTGAAACTGTACTCTGAATGCTTGTATGTAGTTCAGGGCAAAGGTTGACCATCTGAGCACACAACTGCAACAGTCCCATCAGACTGAAGGACCGCACAGTGGTGACTGGTACAACATGATTTTCACTCTCTTCAACACATGAACAGTACAGCTGAATAACCTCTTCTCACCTCCATCTATTGGTGCATATTTGACATCCCTACATGCATCATGTCACAGTCCCGTCCACAAAGGCTGATAAAAAGTAGACTGGCTGAGGAGCTGGTGAATCCTCCTGCAGCAGCAGATAATCATAATTACACCTCTGTGCCTGAGTAAGTGAATGATAAATTTGGTCCTGCCAGTAAAGCCTTGTCCACAATCAGGGCAAACGCGAACATACTATGGTGCTGCTTCTTAAACCAATCTGTCCTCATTTCTCTTGGCAATTATATTAGGTTGTTTGGGTTTGCTTTCTTTTTTTAGAACTGTACAGGCTAACTTCTGCTATAAATAACTAGAGGAAAATGCCAGTAGAATATTTACTAGATTGAAATCCCACAGTTCAGAAAAACCGTACTATAACCCATCCGGTAAAAATCAGCATTTACATGTTGTGTAGCTGGTAGAGGTCTGATCCTGCCCTCCAAAATACTGTGCCAGCACGCTGTCATAGTCCTCTGAAATCACTGAGTTTTGGATCTGTACTGCATTTTCATTGCTATTTTCAGCCATGCAGGCAACTAACTCAGCATTAAGTAGTATGGAAACAGCCAGCCATTTCCACCAGACATCTCCTCTTCTGTGTGTCCTATTTTATAACGCAAAAAATCAACACAATATAAAAAAAAAATAAAAAAAAGACTATTCACTTACCTTTAGCTTCCTGAATAGTCCAGAATTCTTTCACTACCTTAACAATGTTTTTCTCCTCTCTCAACTTCCTTTGCCACTGACGTAGCTCTTGTACTTCACTGTCACAGCGGACCTGGGAAAGGGAAAACAGAAGATGCTACTAAAATCATATACATTCATGCTACCCAAGTGGATCATACAATTTTTTCTATGGGGCTGTGACTGGGCAAATACATGAAGTTCATCCTTTTTTTTCTGGGCCTGATAGAAAAGCACAGTCCCAGAGGTTTAGTTTTCAACTTGCACAGAAATAAAGCCCACAAAACTGACAAACCCTATTGAAAACATAAATATGCCAATTAGGGGATCATTTTGCTTACAAAGGACGCCTGAGAATGTGATTGCAGTGAGGTACTTTATTCTTTGAGTTAATTAAAATTTAAAGCATTATGCTAAAGGGTATTTGTGCCTTTAGAAAACCACAACACTGTAAAACCAACCCACTGACCAACATAATAGAGGAGCAAAGGAGCATGAAAGGTCGTACAGCAGGAAATTTATTCCAGCAAACTGATTCACACCTGCTATCAGCTGCAAATAGGCTTACTGACAAGCCCAGCTATACAATTTTCACAAACAGGAGAGCCATTAATCTGTTATTTAAAGTAATTGGAATGCATTACATGATCTCTATTCTTTGTCAGTCAATCACTCTATGAAAGGCATAATTCTGCTTCCACATAAAATGACAATAGTCACAGGCCTTGACTCCATTTAAGTTGAATTCTTCTATTATTGCTTTCTTACTAGTGTAGATCCTACTAATGTAAGAAAGAGCAAGCTTTACATCAGCAGCTTTTACCACTCCGCTACTTAAACTTGTTCTAAGCAGGATTTGATTAATTAGCAGTATGTTGCCTGTTGTCTACATCGGCATTCACACAGTTACTACCTCTGTGCTGGAGCTAAAATCCACAAGAGATACTGTTCTTCTGAAAATGGTGGGAAAGGGGCATGCTAAAATTAGCTTAGACATTGGTTAGTGATTATTCTTTTAAACTCATATTCAAATTATAATAGAATTATTAAAAATGCCGTTTCTGGTGGGGTTTTTTCTAAATGTTACATAAGTAAAATGTCATTATGTTTTAGGACTTAATGCCCTAATAATTCAGTCTGGAGTTGAACAGCATGGCAGAAACAAGCAGCAATAAGCTTAGGGTCTCCTGAACACATTCTTGTTCTTGGGAAACTGACTACTTAGTTTTCTAGAAATTTTCTTGTATTTATTTTATTCTTACATGGTAAGGTAATGGGTTTGCTCTGCAACTTGAACTCTACTATCCTACTCCATTACACTCTGCTTTTCTTCCACTTTCCCAAGATACCTACAGACCAAAAGAGCAGGATATGGTTTTCCACTAGTTAAAAAAAGAAGTAAAACAATATAAATTACTTATCATCAGATATATTATTTCCACCCAGAATTTCTCCTCTGTGGTGCAGCTGGGAATGCAATAACCAGTACCTGAACTCCCACAGCAATTTTTAATCCACTTAGAAGATAACTTGCTATGTTTCAGATAGTGCGCTGGCAGAGCAGAAAGGTTACAAGATCAATAATGCCAGGCAAGACTTCTGCTCAGTGACTTGACATCAGATACCTCTGAGGCCTCTAATAATATCCCATTATACTAATACAGTTCTGTATTATCTTCTATAAAAGTTATACAAAGTTCTCACAAAACCATTTTCTATTAAATATATCAGATACTATTTTCAAAAATAAAATACAATCCCCAACCCAGGATATTTTCTTTAGGCTTGCAAGACACTTTTTTTTTTCTGTTATACTGTAATTTATGCCTTTATAAAACCCGTAATTTCCTATTGCATGGAGTCAGTTTATCTGCACAGGAAAGGGTTAAGGCAATGCTTATGGAACATGCAACTGTCAGTAGCAGAAGAGGCAGAAAGATAAAGATATTACTACCTCTATGTCTAAATATAACATTTTTGAACAATTGAAGTGCCCATTTCCAACTGCAGCTATGTTAAGACCTGTATTTTGGCCCGGAGCACTGACGGTTGGTCTGGAGAAGACCAATAACGAAGCACAATACACTGTTCCTTTATCACAGTGCCATGTAAAAAATGCATGTGTGCTTGTGTTTAATTATTCAATATTATTACAATGTGTAATTTTTTATTTTGATAATAGTGTTTAAAAGTTCCAAATTCTCTGAATTATAAAATAAGGTTTAATGAAAAACTTCAGAAAAAGAGCTTAAAATATTGACACAATAATATCCTTAGAATGTAAAAGGGCATACTTGTAAGTGTTCAGTTACTGCCACAATAAATCCCTGTTAGCTGACAGAGCTATTTATTTTAAAAGCAAAATATTTGAATTCTTTGGTGAATTTTCATAATATACTTTATCATCAATGTTTTGAAATGCTATTTAAGCTTTGTGTTCTCTTAATTTACAAGCTCAGGCATAACACATGGCCCTATGTAGTAAGTTGTTACTAATGATTTTTGTTTTATGGTCTTGATTTTAATTTCAATTTAAATTTTTAAAACACCAAGTTCTGTCATCTCTAATTAGCTAAACCATTTCACAGCTAATTTTATAGTCTGAATTATTTTTTATGTCTCCTGCTTTTTATTGTACAGTTTCTCTCATTTCTCAGAACTCGTTTAGAATGATAAATAGTACTGTGAAAATTTTGACGTTAATATACATGACAAGGAAGGATAGTGTCCTTCAGAAGCTTTGGTAGAAGCACAGGGTATCTGAGCAACCTTGCACTGTTCAGCAAACATAACTGTTACTGCATAATGGCTGCCTTTGCAATACACCACTGTAAGGATGCCTGCAGTGAGGCTGTCAGTGCTAATTAATGTTAGTGTCAATGCCATCTCTGGTTTAAAATAAGAAAAATAAAAGAAAATGGAAAAGCAGAAAGCATCACACAAATCTTTCAGTCAAGAAGATAATTTCAAGGTATTTTATCATCTTTGGCTGCATGGCACATCATGTATCTACTCATATATTCATGCTTGTTAAAAGCAGTAAAGAAAAACTTAGCAGCGTTTTATACTGATCGTTACTTAAAGAATACCTAACATACAGACAGAGGTGTCTCACTGTCCATCACAATGAAATTCCTGCTATAACTGAAGGCTATTTACAAGCATAAAGTTTGATAAAGGCAGTCAAAAGACATTTCTTTGTCACCAGTGTCACCTGAATTTCAAGTCAATTTCTTTCCAAGGCCTGAAGGTGTTAGAGCCTTTCAAAGAAGTATTTGATAAAATCTGTTCAGGATTTTCAAAGTAATTTATTTTGTACCCTGGGGTTAGCATGACTGTTACCCTCCACAAGAACAGCATTAGCCCATTTTCTTTGTATTTATTTTATGCATCTTGCTTTTCCCCTTAAATAAGGATTTTGTTAGTGTAATACTACTACTACCACTTTGTTTTCCCTTTCCTTGAAAAAAAGTTCATGCCTCTCCTACATCTCCTGTCTCATTATTGGTCTCAATTTTTTTATCCTTTGTTTCTGTATGCTTTTATTTCTTAACAGACCCCACCAGTCCTCCTTTGTGATCTTCTCACATACTCACCCACTGACATATCCCTGCATGAAGCAAAGTTAACACTTCATCCTTTAGCAACCAACCAAAGATTAAAAAAAAAAAAAAAGTTGATCACTGTTAATTGTATTTTTGAAAACCAAATTTCTGTGGATTTTCTGTTGTTGAGGAAAACAGTGAGACTGCAGCAGCAAAAATGCCTGTGAAAAAATTGTAGTCACTAGGCATAAGGCAAAGCAACATACAAAGCCAATGAACCATGGGGGGTCTCAGCAGCTATTTATAGTATCCCCTACTTAAAATTTATGTAAGGATTTTCCCTGGGGCCTTCACAGTTCTACAGTTTTCAACATCAAGCAAAATAATTATAATTACTCTTACCCGATAGCCTCTCCAGAAGGACTGAATTATTATGCTTGCTTCTTCTTCTGATAGAAGGAGAGAGAGAGGAATTGGTCGTCTAGGACTTAAAAAAAAAAACATGTTTTGTAATCAGACAGCCTATAAATGTAAAACACTTTCTTCCCTAACAGCGTATTTTACGAAAAAAAAGAGGAAAGGTTATTCAGGAGCTTGAAAGATACAACTTCTTATTGCTCCAAAGATAAAATGTGCAAAGAATATCTCCTTTAAAAATATATTCTATGTTATGTCTACTACAACCATTTCTCCTTTAAAATAATAATACATAAATAGCACATCAAGAGGCATAATCTTTCTTATTCTTCTACATGGATTTCAAGTTCCAACTATTATGGTAAAGTTTGATGTGGCAGTGGGAGAAGGGCAAGAGAAGTAAACATGCCATTTATTTCAAAAGCAGAGGAGGTTTTAGTGTCCATGCAAACAATGAACAGCCTCATGACATAAATGCTCATAACAATAATTAAATACACAGAATGTAAATACACTTTAGTACATTAATTTACAGTGTGATTTCACTAAAAATTAAAATGCACTCAACATGTAATGATTATCATAACTGCATAAGCATGGGTCCATGTTTAGAAATGTCTGAGTTCTTAAAACACTGAAATTTTACTTTCAATATACACATTATTTGGTGATAAGAGAAAGCAATACATATGTGAAGTCGAGAATTTTCAGTCAAAATTTACAGTAATTGGGTAACATGTTTGCTGATTCTGTCACTACCAATTTTAACGGGAAACATTCTAAACTATAATTACAATTCAGCCATCACTAACAAAACCTCAAATCACTGTAACAGAGCCTGCTTCCCAAAAGCCACATTCTATGGATGTTGATTTTTTTTCTCACACACAATGATCAGAAGGCATCCGTTGGAAAGGACAAGACAAAATTAATTGATGAAGTTTCTTTCATAATAAATGTAATTTGAAGCTAATGAACTATAGGGCAATAACGGTGCAACTCACGAAAATACCTGTTATGAACACTAGACTTAGCACAGGATTAGAAGGGCTGCTAAGAGCCACTCTTCCTTGTGTGGGAAACAGGTTGAACACAAACTTATGAATCTGGATGCAGCAATCATCTATAGACACATGCAACCAATGCAGAAATGTTATTTACCATATTTATACTATAAAAGATACATCTAAAGATACACTGTAATGACCACCATTTAGCAAGCTATTTATGCAGTCTTACATTTTCTGGCTAAAACATTTCTTCTGCCATTTCTTTTGGAAATTCCTTTTACAGTATATTACAGCTCAAGCTAGGAGGCTTGACAGCTTACATTTTCCCTTCACTTAATTTCATTCATATTAGTCTCTACCCTGGTAAGCTTCCTGTGCTCTCTGACATCTTGCTCTTAGAGCTTGTCTTCAGTGAAGGAGCATTTCAACTTAGAGCACAAACTATTATCCAGTGCTACACTGACGGCACCATTTTAGTCTGTGTACTCAGCTAAATTGGTCTCATCATCATGTCAGCTGGGTTTTGGCCTACATTTATTTTAATGTGAAAGAAAACCTTGGTCTTTTTGGCAGGGTAGAAATAAGGCAAAAATAAAATGAAGTCTCTCTATTAAGCTAAATGGTTTTAGCCCTGTGAACATTAATTAGCATTTCTACTGCTCAACGGAATCAGAAGTGCTGGACAAGCAAAGCTAACCGCTTCCTAAGATCAGACTTAAAAATACAAAGTTGGGCTGTGCTGGTTTACCTGATAGGCTTTTCATCCTCTATTCTATTTTTGATCTTTTTGAAAACCAAAACTTTGAGCAGGAAAGTCACAGAAAGACCTACATATTTTACAGCAGTTATATCAAAGAGACTGAACTTTCTCTGTGAATGAGCACATCTCCAAAGAACAAGCTGAGAAGTCTCTTAGCCTGCAAGGCTGACTCTAGCATTCATTTGCTTTCATTTTCAAATTAGAAAAATGTCTAGTTTATAATCCAACACTAAATTTGAGAAACTAATATAAAAATCAGGCAAGAACAGGACTTAGTTTTCAGTATGACAGTCACCAATAAATATCAATCATTTCAACAGGGCAACTTTAAAGAAGAGAAGTCATGCCAGGTCCAGTTTTGTCTGAGAGAATATACGCAATTGGCTTCAGGTCAAATAAAAATAGAATCTGAGCAGAGGCAATCACCCCTCAGCGGTGAACTAGGAAAAGAGGGAATATATCATTTGTGGCAGAAGACAGCTGTATGCCTCCAAGAAGATTAAAACTGACACTAACTATATTCTGCCTGTTTAGTCTTTGATTATGCATCATCTTAAAAACCCATGCATTAAACATGTTGATAGCTATTTTGAGATACATGTATCGCCTATACTGTTTAATGTAAGTTAAATGATGTAAAAGAGCATCAGTAAAATGATTTTTCCTAACTACTGTATTTTACCAACTCTGAATAAAGCAGACACCAAACAGAGGAAAGTTGTTTCTTGCTTTCTGAACAAACTTGCACAGATCCTGACTATGTAAGATACTTACTAATTATGTTACATTATGCAGGTGGAATGTGGCACTCAAAAGTTAGACAAAAGACTTGGATTAAATAAATGTATGAGGTATTGAAAAGGTTTCTTATTGAAGATGTATATCTGATTTCCTCATGGGCAGCAGCTGGATTTCTCAGTGAATTCTCAAAAAGGGAGGGGGGGAAAGACCCTCCATTATCTTGTCACCAAAATAGAGAAGTTAACCTCTTGGGGTTCATAGCCATGCTGACAGGCACTGTATACAGTCACTAATTTTACACAGTAATGTCCAGAACACCCAATTGTCATTAAATTCCCAATGTGTCTGACAGATAGGCCTGATTTTTATCTTGAAAAGGAAATACAAGAAAAAAATTAATTGAGCAAAATTTTCATTATTTATAATTCAGGATTTCATAATTGCTCATTTTATTCAAATCTATTCCCTCACAGTAACAGACAACCACCAAATTTAACCACCAGCCTCACAGCAAGCTGCTGCAGGACCACTGTGCCAGCTACAGAAAGCATCAGTGCCTGGGGTGGATAGAGTGTGGGTGACAGTGGGATATCCAGGCACAGCCCATGAATGGTCAGGGTTTCTCTCTGTTTTCAGAAAACTTGTCTCTAGAAATAGTGAAGCAAACTGAATCACAAGGATCAGGCCTTCTGGAGGCCGCTCTGTTTCAATACAACTACTGCCGTATTAAACAGCAACAACCACTTCACCTTTAATTTGACTGTGATGGTTATTGTTCTTGAATATTTATATCATGTGTGAACACAGGCAATGACAGAGTCACTGTAAAAGTCATAATCTAAAAGACACAAGAACTGACCAAAGAACAGGGATAAATATAGAAGACGCAAGTAAATGACATGGTGATCTGTGTAACTCCTCTGATAAAGTCTATGGCTTGAAAGTACACCAATAATTCACATGCTGGTCTGAACAACCAAAAAAGTTCTGGAAATTTTTCAAAGTTGCTTTCTTTCATATTTTCTCCCAGAGAATCTAGAAATACTATAGTAGCACCTGACTTCATTAAGACGTCTTCTTACAATGCCTAATCCAGAGTTGTAAATATGCACAACAATGAAAAAGTTTTGACTGAAAATACATGTTTCAAAATCTCTGCCTACAGATGCTGTTAAGATCATTCACCCAAAAAGCAGGAATAATATTGTTCATAAACAATCAGACACTGAAATACTGATTTATCTGACCTGTTTGAAACCAATTAGACATGTTAATCACATATAACACTATCACTGTAGGAGCCTCACAGCTTTACAGGAAGTATTCCCCCAGACACTTAACAAATACACCCAGAACATTTCCTCAGATAAAACTGGGTTCAGACTGAGACCTTTCTTTGTAACATTTTAAGAATTAATACAACTATTCAACAGTCAGAAAGAAATTACTGTTTTTCTTCTAGAGTATTCTAAATGCACTAGAAGAACAGAAAAGTATTTGGAGAAAAACATATTTTACAATATATAAGAAAACAATTTTGTGCATTATATGAAGGGTACATTTTTGAAGCATTGTAAAAATAACTGAATTTAACCTTCTAGAAAGGAAGTGCAAAGAAGCAGACATTTTGAAGTGTGACTCCTGCTACCTGCCTGAACTCTTCTCTATCACCTCCAAATAAAAGCTCCTTGATACTGTCAATAGCTAAATGAAGAATAAAGAAAATGCACTTTGACCCCTTTTGCCCCCTCCATTCTCTGCATCCTCCACTGCTTTGCTGGTCTTTTGAAAACACTTCTCTACTTTGAATATCCTCAAATACAAAGGCTGTATGTTCTGAACAAACAAATTTCCTGTTTCATTTCTGTCTCAGCCACAATTCTAAAAAAAAAACCCACAATACCAAACAAAAACCACAAACCTTCCCCCTTCCCCTGAAGATTCAAAATATTACAGTATAATAAAACCATAAATTACACTCAGAAGTATTATCAAAGTGGTCATAGTGATAATATGCATACAACTGTTAACACATACAAACTTCTAAAACACTTATTTACCTTTTCATAATGAAGAAAAGACATGGTAAAGAGTGCAGAATTAACATGAGAAAGATGTTAACTGGGGAGGCAGAGTAATATAACAGGGGAATGAGGCAGACCAGGTGAATGATAACAAGAATGGGAGAGGAATCAGAGGAAGCACAGCAAGAAGTGTTAGTAGTGAGAACATGCCAAAACAGGGGCAGAGCAAGAATCTTTTGTCTTCATTTCTGTCTGAAAATTATAGTAGCTTTCTTGCCTCTCAATATGCTTTTTACTTCGGGAGAACTTATCCATTTTAATGATAAAACTCAGCCCTCCTTGCATACTTGCTACATATTTTGCAAGTCACAGTGTGTTGCTTTAATTTTCTCTTTTGGAGTACCAGTATTTATATAGTCTGTAAGAGTGTTTGTGGTCCTAGACCAAAGGAAATCAAACATGGAATTATTCCAAAGTCCACTCATGTTAACGGGCAAATTTCCATCTATGTTTGTGTACTTTAGATCAGACCTTGTATCCTGTAAACATGAAAAGCTAACAGCAGGAGGAATAACCTCCACTTAATGCTCTAACAGCAACATTAAGAAGATGGCACAAACCACTAATACATTTTCAATTTTCTCATTGCCATTTTGACAATCTTTACATAAATTAAGGCAAGTTTCATCACTGCATCAGGATTTGAGCCACAGAAACTCAACCACAGAAAACCATTACACAATATAAATATTTTATACAGCAACTTCATGCAGTTTTCCAACACACAGTTGTAGGGTAGGGTTTTAGTCAAAAATTTCTCCTTCATTAACTCAAATCCTGCCATATAGCTGTAACAGCAATACTTCTTAGATTCACACAGACTAACATCCATACAGACACATTTGTTGGATTTTTCTGTTATTACAACTAAATGTGCTGCATACCATCCCCCCAAAGAAAAAAAGAAAAAAGGAAATTAAAGCTCAAATTATTGAAGAAAATGAAAGAAAAAATATAATGTGAATCAAATATACTCTAAACATGGTTGGTTTAGAGACAAACTAGTGAAATATAGCAGTGTGCAGAAAGCAAAGCCTGTAAAAACTGAGCACATTATGGAAAGAAAGCAAGCAGTCATCCATGCAAAATTACCCCTATTGGCCATCTGAGAACTGACAATGAAGTCAACTGTAAAGGCAGCTGAGACCAGCAGACTTCCCTAATTAAAATGGGAGGGGGATCAATGTATATATGGGAATATACAGATATTTGGCAAAAAAGCCACCATGTGAGATTGATTAACAACTTTATATATACATATATATGTATTTATTTTAGCTGTCCACTTCATTAAAACCATGATAATTTTATTTTCTCTGTATCTGCACATTTGTTTTAGCAGACACAGAGTAAACCAGGAAATGCGTCCTTCAGAACTGAGTATCAAGTGAATACCTCTATACAGAAAATGAGAAAATACAGCTAAACAATTTTGGTGTATGAATGTTTATTTATAAAGCACACCTTCAGTTCCTGTAACCCTGTTAAATATGCATTCAAAGACTGATCTTCAACAGCTAGGAATATACTTATGCTTATTCCTAACCTAGATCCGTACACCATTCTCTTTCACTGAATGTAAAGGTTTGAAGGTGAGCTTGAATAATTCTGTCATATTAGTAAATTCACATGACAGTAGACATATGCTATCACTCTCTTTCAGAGCAGTGGAACTATTTTTTATTGGCTTCTTCATATTTCTTTCATTAATATGCTAAAGATAGTTGGATAGTGATACTCCTGTGATACTCAGAATGAAGACTCAGTCTAACTATGCCAGAAAAGTAAAATTTGGGGAATCGGGACATAAACACAGATCACTCTTTCCCTGCCCCTGGTTCAGTAGATAGAGCTTGGTTACTTGTGCTGAGCTTCACTGCTATTCAACCAGAAACACCACTGGAAAATGCTGACAAAAGGCAACTGTGTTGCTCATTAGCATATTTATAGGAGTACAAAACATTCAAGGTTCTAATTTCATTTACTTTGCTTGGCTGTATCAGCAGGCTTCAATGTAGGAATAGGGACACCAGTATGTACCTCAGCCAGTTCCCAAAAAAACTTTTGTTAGTTTCTTGTTAAACTCCAGTTTCTTGTCCTCTGAAAGGTCCAGCTGCCCTTTTAGACAACAGGAATGTTTTGTGTTCTCCTGGATGTGAAATGTGGATTACCAGTCAGTGTTGAGGCTGCTCCTTCCAGTGCTTTTGAAATTTGCTTCAGGAATCAAGAATTCCCAAGGGATATAAAATTTTGTCAGTACTGCTGGTAGCTCACAGATCCCAGTGGAAACAAGGTTAACTATACTGAGGCTTTTATTTACTGACGGCACAGCAATTACTATAAATACTAAAGCTGGAAGGAAATCCAAATTTGACAAGCTCCTTCACCTACAGTACCCAGCTTCTGAAGGTGCCATGTCTGCATTTCAAATTCTGGAAAACAATACAGCATTTGGGTCTCCTTATAAAGGAAAAGTAGGCTGCAAGATCTCATTTAGAAACACAGAATACAGAGGGTGGGGGGTCACAAGACTGTGGCTTTGATTATTCTTTAAAAAAGAAGAATTGAGCTTCAAAGAAAAAACTGGAGGCACTGGAGGAGAGCCAAAAAAAGTCATACTCAAGTATGGAATATATTAAGAAATAAAAAAAGCTGGATCTCTGATAGAACAAAAAATTATTTCTCTGGAGTTTTTATGGTTTTGTTTTCTTTTTTTTTTCCAAGCATGAAGACCACTTTGCTCTGATACACCCTATTTTAACACAACCTAGAAATGTATTCCTATTTAACAGACTTCACAAAATGCTTTCCAAATTTAGACAAGTAACTGAAAAAGCAACACAAGAGTTTACCCCTTAAAATTGCAGCAATGCTTTTTACTTCTTTTTCTTAATTATACCATCTAAACAGTTGGAATAAGGCTGTTTCCCATCAAAACTTGACCAGCACACTTTAGCATATCGTCTCTTGCATAGTCATAAATCCTGTTTAAAAAAAGCAAACTCTTTTACAAATAAAAATGGAAATGACAATAAAAAAAGTGTAAAATAAATTGCATTTTAAATGTGATACTTGGGAGGATACAATAATAAACTATTTATGACCTATCCAGGATGACATAATGATAAATTCTCCATTTTTATTGTTATTTAGTATTGCAAGCTTTCATATGCTCTAATTGCTTACTTTATAAGCAGTATTTGTTAAGAAATCTGTAATTTTAAGGTATTTCCACAAAAAGGATTTAATAATTTTAATTGTTATTTTTAAAGGTCTATTTGTTTAGAGGATTTGAGATCAAGTGTGTATCAATTTAAGCAGGACTTTGACACTTCAGTGTCCTTGTGGAGCTGTCACTACGTTATTTAGGAACACAAGTACTAACAGAAGCTATGAGTCATTCAGGCTGTGATTCCACAGTGTATTTCTCTTGCTGGCAAAGCTGACTTAAGCAATTCCTTCCACCACCTCTATATCTTAGCAGCTCATTTGTTCTCTTCACCTTGCCCTGAGCCCTTCATTTTAATCCTTCATTGTGCCAATACAAAGGTTTGTCATGCTCCCAGGTGAACCAAAGTGGAGAAATTATCTATATTTTAAATAGCTATACAAAACCTCCTCACATGTTTTGGCAGAGAGATTTCTAACTCAGAGTACATCCCTGATAAGAATAACCAAGCATCCAACCACACAGATTAGGTTGCCTACAAGCAGGTTGGGATGAAGAGCAGCAGAGAACAAGGAGAGATTTTGGTCAGCTTTATTTCCAAAAGAAATGCTTATAAAACTGCTATCTTTGATTTATCTTCATGTTGAATGTTCATTCAATTCAGTGGTATCAAAACTGCCTTACTGATGGTTCTTCAGTATGCTTAAGAAATGAGTATGACAACCTCACCACAGTTCATAATCAGTTTCCAAACCACAAAATTTTCTTTAAATCTGGCCTCTGTAATTTTCTTATCCTCCCACTGCGGACTATTACTTTACTTCTCATACAACAATTCCATTTTAAAACAAAACACAGTCTCAAAGACAGCAACATTTCTTTCAAAACTACTGTGTAGTTTGATTCCACAGGAATAATGAAGAATATTGATTGAGGCTGTCAAAACAAGTTCATTTCTCAGATGCAGAGTCATAAATGTCTGCAGAAATGTACCCTGACACCAAGGATTGCTGCAGGTATTTTTAAAACAGCTGCTTACAGTTAGAGGAAGAATTTCTAGACTGCATATCCTCAAAGACTTCCATAGTAGGAAGCAGCATTGAAAACACAGCTTTGTTCCTTAGTACAAAGATATTCATAATACTACCGACTACTCAAACGCTATCCAATCTACAGTTAAAGTATTTAGGAATTTTAAGCTAATTTATCTGTGAACAATTCTGATACAAAACACTTTGTAACTAATGCACTACCAAGTTAGAAAGTATCACATATTTCTTTGTTTCACACAGTAAAGGGGCATTTAGAGGGCACAACTGTAACACATCAAAGCTCTATTACTTTTTTGGACTACCGGGGAAAAAGAATAAAAGGAGAAAAGGTTGCTCTGAGTACTGTGATAACTTACTGGTCCTTTAGCCAGTCCTTAACAAAAGGAATGGAAAAAAATTCTGTGAATGACTCATCTTTCCTCTTTGGGTTGTTGCTGATAAAGATAAAAAAAAAAAAAAGAAGAAGAAAGAGAAGAAAACAACTCATATTAATTTAGATTTCAACTATTCGATTGGCAAATTAATGCCTTTGATTCATCAAGCATAATTAATAATAAAAGCTATGATTAACTTACTTGTATAACCACTCGGTGAGGAAATCACAGGCAATAAATTTGGTCCTTATTCTCTAAAGATAAAAGATAGTTTCAAATTATTTATTATCCTTGGACTGGACACATGTTTTTACTACTGGAGAGGAACAGAAGCTAAACTGACTGCATTTATTAAATCAAGTATGCAGTACATTACTCTGTCTACTTTCATATTGCTACTGCCAACAGTCAGTGGTTCAGCCAAACCTTTAGAAATTTTGTGGAACACTTTCAATTCAAGTCAAAAATGACTGAGAAAGTTCTACATACACTATCCTGACATTTGCTGCGGTGTAGCTATAACAAATATCTCTGGTGTGCTTTCCAAGTGGCAATCTCATTGCAAGGAAATTCACAGAACTCATATACGAAAACACATTGTAAATTACTTGCCATTTTGGTCAAAGTTCTATTATTATACTTCAACTACTTCATTGCTTCCAAGGCACAGAAAGAACATTGATGGAATATTGTATTCTCCTGCATGGAACCAGCTTGAATGTGTTGTAAATAAGACACACAGAGAGTGTTATATGGCTGCTCAGATAAAATCATCTGTTGGGTAACCCAAAAAGGAAGGCCGAAACAAGGCATATGTATATCCACAACCATGGGTACCACAGACACTACAGAGAATCAGGTAAAAAGTTCCAAACCTGGAGCTTTGGAGCTAAACATCTGTGTCCTTTGCTTCCAGTTCTAAAACTTCTTTACTACTATGAAGATTGTGGTGGATTGATTTTGCAAAATGCTATGCAATGTGCTATCCTTAGTGACTCCTGCAGCCAGTACCTGTTAGGCTGGACAGCACTGCGCACCATAAAACACATTTTGAGTTCGAAATTCAAATCATTAATTTTGATCAATACAGAATTAATTAGGATCTTCCTTTTCTCAATTTCCTCTTCACATTCCATCTTTACAGACTGAATGTACAAATAAATACTGGTGCTTATTCTGCTTATCACAAACCAGAGTAACCATGATGTGGAGAAGATAATGTAGATTTCTGGTTGGAGTAACAGAAGACCTTGACTAGTACCTTCTGAATCCCTCTTACATGAGATATGTTATGGATGTGCACAGCCAGAAAGTCAACACTGGAAGCCATTAAGCCCCCACAGAACAGCGAGGCTCAGTGCTTTATCAAAGTAGCTAAGAGAAAGCTCTAGATCCCTTGCAGAAGGTAATACTTACCCTGTCAAATAGGGGATTCAACTGCAATTACTACTTTTTAGGAAAACAATTCACACTGTTCAAACACATTTGTGAAACTGCTAAATGTCATGAAAGAGGCTGGAGTCTTGATTAAAATGTAAGAAATGAAGGTACTATTACCACCTGCTAAGAAAAATATACTAAACATGTAATTGGAAATGTAATGCATGACGAATGACTTTATTCTATGCATTATCCTCATCGTGTTTCTCCCTGTGCTACAAGAATATGATGCAAAAAGGACTGGGGGATGTGAACAGAGAGATAGAAAAAAAGTGCTGTACATAGCATAATGTGGATGGATTTTTAGCAAAGAATGGCCATGTTCCCAAGTCAGCAAATGCCTATGTGGAGCTCGACATGAATCGAGGATGAAGGAGGACGTGGGTAAAGAAGCAAAAGTAACGGTGCAAGCAAGATAAGAAGAAACTGGAACGTGCTAAGATACAAAATAGTGAACTGTTGGCAAGTGTTGTGGTTTAAACCCTAGCCAGACAGCTTGTTCACTCACTCCCAGTGAGTGGTGCCAGGCTGGAAGCAACCGAGGCCAGCCCCCCCCCCCTCCCCGCTCCTGGAGGTATGGGGATGAGAATCGAAAGAGTGCAACTCCTACGGGTTGAGACAAGAACAGTCCAGAAAACAATGTACAACACAAATCACCACCGCTACCGCTACCACCACCACTACCGATAAGAGAAAATAACAAGGGAAGAGAATACAATACCACCCGCTGAGAAACGAGTCTGACCCAGAAGCCCGTGTCCTTCTGGGTAGCTCCCAGTTACACACACACACCCCCCCCCGGGCATGACGTGCTGTGGTATGGAATACTTCTTTGGCTAGCTTGGGTCAGGTGTCCTGTCTCTGCTTCCTCCCGGCTTCTCCTCCTTCCTGGCAGAGCATGAGCCTCACAAAGCCCTAGGTTAGGGTAAACATTACTTAGCAACAACTGAAAACATCGGTATTATCAGCACTGTTCCCAGGCTGAAGTCAAAACACAGCGTTGTACCAGCTACCAAGAAGGAGAAAAATTGACTGCTACTGCTAAACCCAGGACAGCAAGTTTTAAAGGTTAAGTTCCCACACACTTATTTGATCAATTGTATACTGTACAATTGTTGCTGTATGCTGCAAGAATATGTATCAAAGCATAATACACTAAGCTATTGTGTACGTATCCATTTATAATACAGCAAGCTATTGTATATGTAGCCGTAGTTGCTGTGTGCTACAAGAATATGTATCTGATTATAATACAGCAAGCTATCGTAAGCAGATGCAGACAACAGTATAAAAAGGATAGCTGCTTTGTAATAATCGGCTTTGGTCTGATCACACTGATCTCTGACTGAGTCCATATACTTTCTGCGGCAGCATAATTCTTTCAGTTTGGGATATTATCAAATAGCATAATTTGTCAATCAATTGGGGGTCAATCAATTACTCCAGCTACAGGTGAAGTAGAAGAGGAACATTATGTGAGGTGCTGACTACACAGTGAAGAACACAGGGTAGTCATGCAGCTATGGGATGAGACACATCTCCTTAAGGCATTTTCACACTTGTCATGCTAATATCAGAAACTGTTCTGAGAAGCCAAACACCTGAGCTTTAAGAGAACAACACCTTCACTAGAGAGCTTTCTACAGGTCATTTTAGATATTAAATTGACAAATTTTGACTTGAACAGAATCTGAAAACTAATAGTCTTACAATCACCGTACAGCTATTTGCAATCACAGTATGAAACTGCATGCCATCACTTAGTGAATTGTTTCAGAGAATAAATTCTATACTTTGACAACAAAATTTAATTTAATTTTGCAGTTGTAATTTAATCTAAGTAAATTGCTTTTCCTTTGCAACAGGAAAACACAATCAGAACAGTCTTGTCAAAACAACCATCACTAAAGGAATCAAATTTATCTTGCCTTATCCTTGTTAGATCCAGTGAACTTATCAAGGAGGAATTTGGTCAAGCTGAGTATCTTTTTACTTTATTTCTTTTGCCAGGAAACAGTTCCCTTTGCTGTGAATTAAATCATTAGTTGCACAGCAGGCAACACTAACAGAAAGGAAAAAATGACATAAATTGACCTGCCTTTGACACATTCCTCCTATGCTGCATGAATCAGGATAAACACAGGAAATATCTGCACAATGTGTATTGTTAACCTGCAGATGTGTTTATAAACTATTTATATTCAGAATTAATTTCCCATTTTTCAGTTTAAATATGATGTGCTTGGTAATAAGCATGCAAAATACTGGTGATCAGAAGCTGGCAAAGTCATTAGAAAACCTTCTTCCATCACTTTCCCTGATCTATCATACTTTTAAATATAATATATTCCATTACAGAGTCTGGTACAGCACTTTCCTTCTGTGATTGCAAGCTAGAAAGAAAAGTCAGAATTATGCTAATAAAAACATTTAAACATTGTTCAATTTTAGTGCTGAAAAATGAATGCATTAGCCAGTTCTCATGAGAGAAAAGATTTAAGAAAACAGTCTTTCCCCCAGAGACATTTGACAGCAGATAGGATAAAGCACAGGAGAAGTTATGCTAGGGAAAAGAAAAATCAGCAAGGGAATACACTGGGCAAGCTAATAGGTTCCTTTCATCTCTAATTTAAAAACTAAGCTTTTGCAGGCTGTTCTCATATTTATGCCAGTTTGAAGTCTGCAAATGTATCTAGCAGCTGGTGGTTTTTCTAGGAGTTTGCTCTTCAGATTTCTCATATGCACTACGTAATGCAAGACAGCCTATTTTAAATTAACTGTTTAAGTTGCTATAGCTTCCAAATAAGTTACAGTTGTTCTATATAGCCTTCCAAATAAGATCTTGCAGCTTTCTTTCCGAAACAAATGGCTACTTTCAGCACAAACATCTTCCTTTCCTGACTTTCCCATCTGATTCTATAATTCTTCCTTTCCAGACACAGGTGCGTCTTTTCTGATCTCTTCCTTGAATTCTTCTGTTTGTCCCATGATCTGATCTCCTATCCCACAATTCCAAACAACTCTCCAATGTAATTTTTATCATAGCATGATAGAATGGTTTGGGTTGGAAGGGACCTTAAAGATCATTCAGTTCCAACCCCCTGCCACAGGCAGGGACACTTTCCACTAGACCAGGTTGCTCCAAGCCCCATCTAACCTGGCCTTGAACATTGCCAAGGATGGGGCAGTCAGAGCTTTTCTGGGCAACCTGTGCCAGTGCCTCAGCACCCTCATAATAAAGAATTTCTTCTTACTGTTTAAGGTAATTCTACCCTCTTCCAGTTTGAAGCCATTACTCCTGATCCTGTAAATTAGTTACAGGAGTTGTAGGCCTGGAAACTGCTATAAGATCTCCCAGAGCCTTCTCTTTTCCAGGCTGAACAACCCCAGCTCTCGCAGCCTGTCTCCAGAGCAGAGGTGCTCCGGCTCTCTGAGCATCTTTGTGGCTTCCTCTGGACTGGCTCCAACAGGACCATGCCCTTCTTATGTTGGGGGCCCCAGAGCAGGATGTGGTACTCCAGATAAAATAATACACCATGCAAAACTGCTAATTGTGTAGATAGGGAAGGGTGAATGGTTTAGGAAGCTGAGCTGCCCCTTGCACCACAGAGGTGTTTCATTTGGAAGGCTGCTGAAGGCTGCTGACAGTGGCTCTGGGACCTGACCCCGTGAAGGTTACCTCTGCTCTTAAAATCACCTGCAGAGGGCCTGGTCCTGATGCTCCATTACTTAGGCACAGGAAGAGGGGAAAATCAGTGGAACTTAGAACTAAAAAAAATTACCCAGTGTAAAAATTAAAAAGTGTAGGTGCTGGGCTGGAAATAACAAACACTGAGCTCCGTGTTTGCTGGTTTTATTTGTTGCCTGTTCATGGCACGCAGAGGTATAAAAGACTGTTGAGGACACTCTAGATTTGAGTTGCAGCTGCATCACTGCTGCTTTTTGCCAAACAGCATTGCTTTATGCTAAGACATAAGCTTGTCTAGCTTGATCTCATCAAAACCGTTATAAAAGGACATAAATGTGCATTAAGACACATACATCTGCCGAACGTAGAGGCTGTCTGCACTTTCTCCCAAACCTTTGGAACCTGGATTCCTGCATTCACAAATTAGAAGTCCCAACAGCTTTTCTGAGCACGGGGACAGGAATGAACACCGAGCAGGGAGGAAGAACACACAGCATGGCAGCGCTCCTTGCCAGGCGGCAGCAGCACGTGGGATGAGTCCTGCCCGTGACAGTTCCGTCCGTGCCTGGGCTCCCTGCCCCTGGGACCGGGCTGCCCTAGTCTGCTCCCGGTGCTGGTAGCCGGACGGCCGCAGGGCGCACACCTAGAGAGTGGCTGTCGTTCTTTCATGGAACAAAATACTTTCCACATGCATGTACTTGTGAGCTCTCCCCGCAGCGGTTGGGTAGACACCAACAGCCTCTGGATTCGCCTGAAGGACAAACGCCCCGCGAGAGCCACGCCGCCCGCCCTGCACTGCCGCCTCAAGATGGCGCTCCGGCGGGCGGGGCGCGCGCATGGATTTCGCGCCTCCCGCCCCTCAGTCAGCTCCGTTCCCCCTCACACCAGGGGAAGCTGTGGTGAGCCCCATCAGCTCTGCGGACTGCACCGCAATGGCCCCTCTCTTCTCACAGCCTCATTCAGTGCTGACTGCAGTCGGTTCCATTATTCCTCCTTTTCTTCCAGTGCTCCTTCCACTCATCTTCCACCGGTTTATTCTGCACAGTTGCCCTTTACAGGCTTTAATGATGCATGTCTGGCCAAAATTCAAACCCAGTATTCTGTTCCCATCCTTCATGGCTGCAGTTAGCTGAATCACAATTAACCATGCTCCTCTCCTGCTCGCTCACGAGTTCAACGAATTTCTCTACTCTGTTCTCCTGGTTTTTGAAGCTATATTCTGATGGTACCACAAGATCCTTTCTCCCTGTCACTAACTCTGGGTTTCTAAGAGCTCTTTACTTTTGACCCTAAATCTGTTCCAGTTATTGTACTAACCATTTAAATACAAATCATAGCATGTTTTTTAATCCAAATCCACATGGAACAAAACACTTCTTATGAAACAAAAGTGCAATTTGAAAAGACGTATTTAAGTCAGATCAGGAAACAGAATGTCCAAGTACCAGCACCTGGACAGTAATGGAAAAGAACATAAATATTCAGTTATAAGGCAAGCACAAAGAGCCATTGTTCAAAAGAAGGAAGAAATGATGTCACAATGGAAAATGATCATCTGACATAAGCTTGCTTTCCTAAACTAAAACTAAACAGCAGGACATCCCTTCATGTAATGACAAAAATCACTCTTTTAACAGATACGCTTACTTTTATGACATTTCCATACATGAAAAAGTAATTGGATTTAATAGTTTACTATAAAGCAGCACAGACCCATAGAAAATTCATTTTGAGAACAGATACTTTCTAATCTATGTACTACTGAAGCTCTGCAAAATTGCTCAGATTTAAAATAGTCAAAGTAACCTAGATTTGTCCTGAGGTTGAAACTGAAGTATTTCTAAGAATTCCAGCATTTTTTTATTAAGTGCTGGTTTATTGCCTCCAGAAATATGGATCATCTATCAAGGACTGTACTTTAAGCCAGCTGTAAGACACGTCTTTTCCCTGTTAAAGGATATGTGCTTCCTTTAAAAAAAAACCCAAACCCTAATCAATATAGATTTCATTAAAAGTGTGATAAATAATATACATGTTTGAACTGTTCTTAGCTAGGTAATGTAAATGTGATGGCAGGAACGATGCACAGAGGTGTCATGCCATAACGACATGTAAATGAACCATTTTCCTATTTCACCTGTATTAATTACAGGTTATAAACACATATACACACATCTATCAATGAACCAGTTTATAGACACACAAACCTTGTGATGATCTAAGCAAAAACTGAAATAACTTACTGTTATTAAATGTACCAATCTGGATTTAAAATGCTGGTTTGGGGTGCCTGTTCAAGTGTGGTAAGCTTTATTTATGTTGGCTGCGTGAGGCATGTACAGATCAGCGGCAAACAGCACACATAATGTCTATTATCATATATACAGAACAGGGCCTAAGATGATTAATAAACCATGAGTAACAAAGTCCTCCTCACTTCACTATCATTTTAATCAATAACCTCAAGAGCACAGACTATATTTCTCAGATATGTATTATGTAGAAAAAGGGAGAAATTTGCATTTGCATTTATATGAATTGCTTTTTTGTATTATGAAGCTGCAAGTAAGAGGAGGCTCTGCCATAGGCATAAAAATATGGAGAGGTTTTACATTGGAAAGTGTGGATGAAAGGCAGAAAGTAGGAAAGAAGCAGAAAAATAATTGCTTCTATGGTTGAAGAAAATAGCAGGAATGATGGAAGACCCCAAAACTCCCAGTATCTAATCTATTGCTGGTGGTTTTCAAGTTAGGCTATGGTGATGCAATAAGCTTTATTTTGCACCAGTTCTAATGCTTTTTTAAGCATTCCCTATATACAGTGAGGAATGTCTCTCCAGGTATAATTATGCACACAAACACTGAAACCAAATGTATAAAAATAGACATAACAAAATTGTTTTTAAAATGTACAATTTTTATAAGCTCATTAATGCTGAATACCCTGGTTTCCAATTAAATGGAATTTACACTGAATGTTAAACAGCTAAAGAACAAAATACACCTTTGTTAGGATGCCAGACTGCAAAAATATTTTGAGTATTGAAGTAAAATTCAAATTCTTTACCTCATCCTCAATAGAGTGTATGAACCTGAAAGGAAGCCTCTTTCTTTAGAATACAACACTATTTAGGCTGATACAACTGGATATTTAAGGGGGATTGTCTGGGAGTCAGATATCATCATAACAATCGAGTGCAATATGTAAACTATTCTAAATCACTGGAGAAAACAATATCCAAGACCAGATCCAAAACAACTCGTGCTATGTTATTTCATATTATTGTGATAGTTTTTCTTGCAAAAAACAAATAAAGAAATACAGCCCGTGAAATAAAACTCTGTGATTTCCTGCCAGTGATTTGAACTGAAAACTGAGAACGAACCTCGAAACACTTTTCCTCCTGTGCTCGATGCAAGAGTTCCTCCATTCCGGGCAAGAGTACTGGAAATATATAATACTCTAAGTATTCTCGAGGAGGACCTGAGAAAACAGCACAGCCTTTACTTACAAGTAAGCACTCAGATTTCACAAAAAAGCAAACATTAGATACCATAAACTAAATATCAGTTATTTTATCAGTACCACCACAGCTTAAACTAAACAGATTAATTCAGTTCAGATACAGCCACAAATCTGTCTTCACTTCTCTTCATCCAAGACAACATAAACTTGAGTAAATTTCATACTAAAGGTGCATCAACACTGCAAACTATGGTGTTCCTTAGAGATGTCAGACTTAGTTTTAAATGAGCAAGCTCAGACATCAGAAGCAGTTTAATTTACCTTGACAGAAAGAAAAGTAAATTGGCATGCCCTGAACTCAGTGCTGTTACAGCTAGACCACTTTTGGTATCTATCCTCATGCCCCTTACAATGCGCAGTAATAGAGCTGGTCATAAAACTGAATTTCTAGACAGAGGAAAAAAATCAAGGTTATGTTTCAGTGATGCTGTGATTTCTTTCTTATAATTACTTCCTGCTTGCCAGGTCCTTCAGAAATTTGAATGTGCCTCCATACACCCAGTTTTCCTAACTCGAGAGGGATGTCTCAGTTTGCATGTCTCTCATGTTTGACTGCGCTGCCCTTACTGCTTACCATACCTCACGTGCTCACACATATTGGCAACATGGTGTTCCATGCAGAAGCAAGCAGTTCCAGTCTTTTATCACCAAAAACTAGCAGTGCTATGGCCTATGCTCCTCTACATGTAGCCTAATAGCTACATGTTTGCTCAATTTAGAGACTCAAGCACCCTTTCCTTCTCAGCTTTGACCCACATCTCCATCATCCCTGACAAGACCTTTCACCATCATAAACTGGGTGAAGTGGAGGAGCCTTCTACCCCTTTTTGTGAAGGCACTGAACCCCTGGGCCAGAGTGAACAGGGAGCCTGACCCTGTAAGAAGGCATAAGAGCACTTCCTTCAGAAAAATGAACAAACCAAAACCTGTTAGGATCCTAGACAAGCAGGCATGGTTTATTGGCTAAAGGACTGTCCTTGATTTAAAGGCAGACTGCCTGCCATTCAGTAAGTATTCAGGTTTTGGTGGGGTCAGTAAAGATTAAGTCATAGAAGTGTTCTCTTCTGGCAACACAGCTGAAAATTTATTCTCTGCTTTATACCTTTAATTGGTTCATGTCCTGCCAAAAAATATTCATAACTGGAAGGACACTATATATGTATAATAGCCAAGGGTAACATTGCTTGTGATTAGCAACCTGAATTCCTAATGGGCACAAATGAATGGAAGAGAGGAAGAGCCAAACAGGAGGGCTAAAATGCATAATAGAAACACACTGCTACTTGGTAAATTTTATAAAGCATAGAAATAGATAAAAATGGAGGAAAAAACTTTATAGCTGTTTCCATTCTAATTTGTAAGCAGATGGGCAAAGATGGTATTTTGAAAGCAGTTTTCAAACTCAATTGTCTGTTTAATCTATTGATCCTAGTTTTGCATTATTAAATTAGAGGAGAAAATGCTTGCCTTTCTCTGATTTAAGTGGTTAAATAAAATGTCACTTATTTGGAAGAGATGATAGAACCTATCTTAACAGCTAGACAATGCTACTGGCTCACGATGCACCAGTTGAGCTTTCTTCCATTGATCAATTGACCAAGCTGGCTCCCTGTTTACAGACCAGGGGTCCGATCACGCAAATTCCACTTAAGGTGGTGTAGCTGTTAACACTTTAAATATAACACATGACAAACCCTTGCCAAATGCAAGAAAAATAATCACAGCAGGGTTCAAGATAATATACTCCTACTTACACGTTTTTGGATCAGGTTGTTCTGGAAAGGGATCTGCCTCGGGTGCGGAAAGCAACTGTTGGACAGAAGTATCAGCTGCAGGGGCTGAATAAAATTGTCCCATACATAATGGCTGCGCTATTCCTGCTTCCAAAGACACCTGTTCAAGATAAATGTAACCTATATAAATATCCCAATTAAGACTGTAAAAAAAAAAAAGAAATCCAATTCAACATGAAAAAGCATAAAGTCAGTCAAAAAATATAATTTCTAATTCAATATTAAATTGTTTCATTATTTTATGAGTACTTTCAAAGAAAGAATTAAGCTTTAAAAAATTCTGCACAGTTCCAGCACAATAAAAACATCCAAACCTGACAGAAGGTATATGAATGTTTCTAAAAGAATAAGGTGAGATATCACAATTTAAAAAATATGTTAGCCTTTGCAAGAAATAGTAATTATTTGAAAATTAAAATTTTATGAATAAGTATTTTCCACCCAGAGGTTGATATGTTTGTTTCTGTATGGTTCAGGAGTCCTGACACTTGCCTTATAAAGAAAATAAACTTTCCTTCTAAACAAAGCATAGACAAATTCAGAGCAAATCCTTAGTTTCCCCACACAGAGACATTTATGGATATCATAAAAAAAGACAGCCCACAATTTTATGGATGTTTTTAGGAGCGCAGGAACTGTTACACTGAGCCTGCAAAATACTCTTAAGAGACACTGAGCTACACCTGTTATAGAAAGACAGGTACAGCCTTTTATCCCCAAGAATGCACCACATTAGAGTTTGCTATGAAAATATGTTATGAAAATTACGTCACCTGAATAGTTTCACTTTAAATTCAACTGGATTCATGAGCTACTGCAAAGCAGGTGGTGGGATCAGGCCACTACACTTGTAATACATATGTCAATAACTGCAGAGATTCCTTTTTAACACATGCAAGATACAAAAAATCAGTGTAACAAGGTATATTATTTCATTTTCAATGCTCAAATATATCAATATATTATGCCCAGACTAATGCCCCAAGCAGAGTTCACTATTCAAATTTAATAACAGCCTGGAATGAAGCTAGTTTCATCTGGGGAAACAGGGTAAGTCTAAACAGACCCACTGTCAGACAATTTAAACCATGTCTTAAAATAGCTTTAAAATAACAAAGAATAGTAAGATAATACATCTACAGAAATGCCTAATTTAAATGAAAGCTAACTTTGTATGAGATGCCCAAAAGAATTAATCTTGCTGCTCCTAGAACTTTTGGGGCCAAAGGTTTAAACTGGTTTGTCTTTTTTAAATTTTTATGTCTGCCAAACAAATCTTCCTAGACTGAATTTACCAAAATTAGACTCCAAACGACTTTGACCAGGTTTAATCCACTAATTTCAATGGCCACGTCTATGTGACCTATCATATATGTGACACTGGGCAGTAACTCTGTCGCTGTGCTTGCTCCCCTCTCCCGTGTATTGCAGTACTCGTTCTGCTCAAGCACCACCCAAAGGAGCTCCTGGCATGCTTCAGAGCCCTGCCTGTGAAGCAGACAGTTGCAGCTAAAAGACAGCGAGACGTACAAACCAAACACAGCTGCCAATCTAATTTTAGTGTAACGCCACCCAAGTTGCTTTAAATAAAGTAATTATTTGGAATATTAGGTTTGTTGATTCATGGAAGTTGTTTGCAAAATATGGTTGGGGTTTGGGTTTTCTTTTTCTCATTTTATGAATGAGTGTACTCTGTGGGTATCTAATTTTTCCATTTAGTTATGCGAAATATTTCTAAAACCAGCCCTATACAGATTTTTTTACTGAACTATACTCACATATTCTTGTTTTGATTCAGGACCATCTGGAAATTGAGGCTGCTCTGCTTCATACTCTGGAAGTAAAAAAAAGTACAGTATTTATTCAGAAGACTTTAAAAACATAACTATTTTTCTCCTAAACAAACATCACTTTCTAAAGATACCTATTCCAGATTTAAACAGTAAAATTTAGTATACCACAAATGTTTAACGTGAATTCTAATGTTTTAAAACAAGTGAGAACTTCAGAGCCTCTTGTCTGCGGTTTAAGTCAAGTCCCAGGTTCTCAGTGATAACAGAATCCTTTAACAGAAAGAGACCTTTAATTAAATTAACAATTTAGAATATTTTAATGTAAGTGAAATGCAGATGCTTGCATAGAATTAGCCACTGTTTTACCAGTGTATAATACTGCTTTTTAATTTGCATTCCTCTATAAGCAATTAAATCCCTAGGACATTGCTAAGCATTGGTCTCCACCTTCAAAACAACCAACCAATCAATCAAAACACAAAAGGTGAAAGCAGTACATGACCCATATAGATTACTGAGTGAACCAGGGGAATAAAGTTAAAAGATGAGGACAATGGAACTGATATGAAAAAAAATCTTAGAGATTCCACAATACAGAAAACTCCTACAGCCAAACCCGTTTGCCATTCTACCATTCTAATTGGATTTACTGGCATTGCCACTTCCACACATACTACGCATGGCTCAGATGAGTTATATTAGAATAAGAAAGTTTATCCCTGCATTTAAAATTGCCATTTTAACACAAAATAACTACTTTTAAGGCATTATGAAGTGCTAACTGAAGAGAAGCCCACCACAAAGCCACGGTGCTGGTCTCTCAGCTTCCTGACCAGCCTCAGCACTCTGACTTTGGGAAAAGGCCAAGACTTTTGCTATTAGAATCAGGCTCGGGTAACAGAACTTGCCGTGAACAGCAGTAACATCGTCACCTCTCTACTTCCCCAAGGCAACAGTCTAACTCCGCTGCCAGGATAACCCACAAAGCTGCCTCCACGCAGGGCGTAGACTGCTGTGCGGTAAGCCACGGGCCACGACACTACTGCAGTAAGCTGGGTCCATGTGGCCCTGTTGGCAGCGGGAACACGCACAGAGGTATGTTTCTGTCAGAAGTTGGTGACGATAAGAAGACATAACGCTCGGGAGCGGCACCGCTTGGGGGTTGCTCTCAGCGGTGCGAAGAGCGGGTTTTAGCAGGTACAGCCAGCCCCTCCGCCGGCTCCACAGCGCTGCTGAGACCGAGCGCCTCTCCGCCAAGAGCCGGGCAGGAGCCCCCTTGAACGCTGCAGCAGCGAGGAGCAGCTTGGAAGAGCCTCGAGTGACCGAGGCTGCGGGGCTGTGCCCGCGGGCTCAGGGCCGGGCCCACGCTCCCGGTGCCCGCAGCGGGCTCAGGGCCGGGCCGCCCCCGGCACGTCCCGGCTCCCACCTGCGCACACGCGCTCCCAGAGGCTCGGCTCCCGCCCGCCCTCCGCCATGCTGCGTTGTGTCGTGTTGTGTTGTGTTGTGTTGCCGCGGCAACAGCGCCACCGGTCCCCTGGGCGGGGCGGGCGTGCCCACGTTCCCCTTCCGGGTCGGCGGGAGCTGCACGTGGCCGCGGCAGGTAAGCGGCGGCGGTAAATGGTGTGTGCCCATATGGGAGGGCCTCCGCGCTCCGTCCATCTAACGGGGGCCGGGGTGCAGCGGGAGCTGGGTGGGCCCAGCCGGGCGGGTCACCGCGGTGTGCTGTGGTACACTTGGGGTTTGAAGGATTGCGGCAGGGGTGTAAGAGGCACTTAGGGAGCCCTGTGGGTTAGCTGTTGATTAAAGGATGGGAGCATCTAGGTTCCTCAACTAAACAGGTTCCTCAGCAAAGGCAGGGCTGTCGCCGGGTGGGTACCACAGGCACAGAGGTCTGCTGTAACCTTTTCATAGGCACGAGTGTCCCAAAAACAGAGCAAGGACAAGCAATCATAATCAGAAGCAAACTCAAGGTTATTACGAAGGTGCCTTGAAAGGATACTGTAATGCCAAGTGGGCAATAAAGGGATGTAAAGTTCAGTGCTAAATAAGTGAAAAGTTGTGTGGAAAACCATCTTAACCCCACACACATATGTATACACACATATATACACACACACACACATACATACACACACACACATATAGTAAGTATCCGCTTTGTCACTTAGGAAGGATGTTTTAGAGAGTAGCTAAACCTGTGAAAAGATCATGCTGGGCAGCTGGCAGAGAGACACATAAAGAGTTCTAAACAAACAAGAGCAGCAATAAGGAAGATGAAAAACCACGCTGTGGCCACTCCAGTACACTCTGTTTTCAGTGCAGCACTTCTGGTTCCTTCTATCACAGAAAGCAAACTGTGAAACTGGAAAAAGAGTGATGAGATATAGAATGGTTTCAGAGTAAAGGGAGACCAGATAGCCTGGGACTTGTTGAAGCTGTGCACTAACATCTCCATTTCATGTTTTTAGAATGATAAAAGAAGTTCATGAGGAACCTCTACAAAAAAAGAAAAAAGCTAAAAGGAGTAGGAGCCAAACTGTCACTAAAACTGAGAAAGATGTTCAAAATGTCATTACAATTGAGGATGATGATGAGCTTGAAACAAAAACAAGGGGAAGGAAAAAGAAAAAATTAAAAGATGAGCATTTAGACCAATTAGAACTGAAAAATAAGAAGAAGAAAACTGGCTCTAGATTACTGAAAGAAGCACATTCAGAAAGCTTTGTGAATGTAGAAGGCCATCTGGATTCAGAACCTAAAGAAGAATTGGAGGAACAAATTAAAATTGCCAAAAAGAAGAAGAAAAAAGCCCAGTGTCATTCTTCCTTATCATTGGAGAATAATGAGAGTCGTGATGTGGAGCTTTCAAATCCCCATGCAGATGGTACTAATGAAAATGGATTTGCATTTAAAAAAAGCAGAAAGAAGACCTCTTTGAATTTGGAATTGGATGGTGAAGTAACCAAGAAAAAAAAGAAGATAAGCATTTTTTCTTGTTCATTAGAGGACGTCCAGGACAGTGAACATGAACAGGCCGAAAAAGTTCCTAAAACCCCACAGAAATGTATTTCACAAAAACCTTTTACAGATATTATCCATAATGATGGGGAGAAGAATTATGTGAGAAGAAAGAAGAGAAAGAAGAAAAAAGATAAGCCTGACTCCTTTTTACCACAAACAGATAATCAGGACAATACCAATGGAGTTTCTGATAGCCCCACTGCATTAAGTGACTCTGGAAAAAGGAAAAGAAATAATGCCCTGGAAATTACATGGACAAGTAGAGAGGAAGAGGACACAGCTGAGAACTCTGGAAGTAGCAGAGAGACCAAGAAGAAGAAGAGAAGAAAAGATGTTTCTTCCTTAACACATACAGATAATAAAGACTACAGTCACAGTGTTCCAGATGAGCATCAACCAGCACAGCAAAAAGTTGAGTCTGAGGAAGAAGAGCTTTCTGGGAAGAAAAGCAGGAAGAATATAAAGGATAATCGTGAAGTCATCAAGAAGAAGATTCAGAAAGAGCAGGATTCAAAAGTTTTGTTAAACAATGACAGTCCATCAAAAAGCCAAAAAATAACACTACTCGAAAGCACTAAAAAGAACCAAGAGAGGGAAATGAAGCAAACAGAATGTGTCACAGGGGACACTGTAGATGGGGTATGGTGCAACAGTAACCACATACGCTGTGATGGAAAAAGGAAAAAATGGAAAAAAGAATCACGCCAGGACTCTGCTGAAGAACCAGGTTCAAAAGCAAACACAGAAAAGATCAAAAGAGAAGACATGGGAAATGAGGCACTGGTAAGTTGTAAAGAAAAGGATGTCTTTCCTAAGGAATCCTGCTAAGGAGTTGAAAGCTTTTTAGGTAGGCACTTTCTTCCTGCAGGCTGCTAAGCCTGTTCAGACCATTGGGATACACTTAGGTCAATAGGGGCCTTCTCTTGGGTTCAAGAAGCAGGATCAGCTGATCTGTTGATTTCAGCATGTAATAGTTGTGAAACACTGCAAAATGGTTTTTAATGCTACACTACACTCTTGTAGTGATCGTGTTTCAGCTGTGAAAATGTAAATATTACAACTAAGAGCAAGTATTGGCCCAAAAAGAAAACTCGTATGTACAGACATAGTGTTGTTCTGTCCTTCCTTCAGTTGCTCTTGGCAAAGTGGCAGCACTCCTGTAAAATAGGATTTTAATACCATGTCATTTAACCTGAGCAGGTTGGTAACATTGGCAGCATGAGTGCATCTAACTGTGTTAGACTTTTTCTTAAGCTTTTGCTGCTGTTAATGCTGGAATTGCAGTGTTAGAAACAAGGGGGAAATTTAGCCAAAACCTGTCATCTAACTTGGACAAAACTTTAGAGAAAATCCTACGAATCCAAAGTGTAGATGAGGCCTAGAGCACTGATGTATGAATTCTGATAGAAAAATACTAGAGAACAACCTAAACACAAATTCTTGATAAAGTAAATCAATGCAAGACAATAAAATGATGCAAGAGCTGTAAATTATACCTGAAAGTAACTGGAATTGTATCCGGACTGGCTGTTAAAGGAAATCCCATCCTAGAATCTTGCAGTACTGCCATTTCTGAGGTGAAACAAACATGGAGAGGAACTGATGGAAGATTTGAAATACACAAATATAGAGGTTTTTTCTTTGATTCGCTCCCCAATTCCCCCCTCCCCCTCAAAAAAAGGCTATTAAGATCTTGTTTTATTGCTTTAACTTTTTTTTAGCTCCTTTTTTAAAATCTGATTAGGTTCTTATTTTAAAGCTATTTAAGTGCCTAAAGTTAGTACCTACATGCCTAACCTCTGTTGTTATCATTGGGAATAAAGCTGTGAGATGCTTAGAAATTCAATAGGTACCTACCTGTATTTTTATTACTTAAACAAAAATGGCTAACTGCAAGTGACTAGGAGCTTGCTTTGATATTCAGAGGTAATGGGAAACTGCACTCCAGTTGTTTTTTATCAAGAATTTGGGGATTTGGCTTGTTTAAAAGTCAAGCTCTAGTAAATAAATCATCATTGAAGATTTCTGTAAACCAGGGACAGGGCAGGCTGCAGCACTGGCTGCCTCTCCAGCCAGCTTCATGGTGTGCTTCGTGTTGTTACGCACTCCTGTATGCAGTTTCTTCATGTTCTGTGGAAACCCAGCAGCTTTCTGGTATCTGGCTAATAATTCAATACAGATTTTATGTAAGCAGGTTCTTCAGTGTCCATGGAGACACAGGTAGAGGCTTTTCCACAAAGGTTTGTGTTGGGAGTGTGTATGCTTCTCAGTCACCAGGTGAGCAGATGTTTGGGGCTTTGTCCTTAGGTTTCTCTGTTTGACCATTCAAAGGACAAGATGGTTTTATTGCTGGCATATATTTTCTAATTAAATTGACACTGACTTTTTGAGACTGTTAGACATTATTTAGATTCTTGTAGCTGTTCACATTCTGTGGAGGCAAGATAAGCCTAATAACAAGTAAAATCTCATGATGAATTACAATGGAAAACACAGCAAATACCTTGCAAACAATTGAGGAGAAGGACGTAGGATGATGCATGTGTTGCTTCTCTTTCCCATATTCAGCTCTGACCTTTAATAATAAGAAGCACTTCAGGGAAATTGTCCTGAAGATTGAGAAGTCTGGGTAAATCAGTTCCAGAGAAATCTAGTTCCTGCCAGACCAAAAGACACTTGTAGTAAATGGCGGATAATGTCAGTCTTTCATTTAACTGTGCCATAGTCTTGACACGTTTTCTAGTCTACAGTGTCTCACACACTGCTGCATGCCTTGAAAAATCCTCTGTGGGGCTTGTGCTGCAAACAAATGAGTGAGTTTTTCAAGACAATGTAGAGTGATACCCACTTTATGTCAATGATCACG